ACACTACAAACATCCCTTGAGGCGGTGGCTGTTCGAGCAGTTCTATTGAATAAGCTCGTCACCATCTGCTCTCTCTACATACCTCCACAACACCGTCTTGAAAAGCATGAATTCGAGTCCCTCGTAGACGAACTTCCAGAACCTTATATTCTCCTGGGAGATTTCAATGCGCATAGCAATCTGTGGGGTGACTCTCGCTGCGATGCTCGAGGTCGCCTGATTGAACAGCTTCTTTTTTCTTGCGGTGCATGCCTGCTGAATCGGAAAGCGCCAACATACTACAACATTGCTAACAATACGTACTCAGCAATAGACCTCAGCATAATATCCCCATCACTCCTGCCTCTACTTAAATGGCAAGTTATTAATGATCCATATGGTAGTGACCATTTTCCTATCGTTATCAGGTCATCAATAACAAATACATGTCCTGCACAAGTTCCCAAATGGCTCACTGACAAAGCCGATTGGGAAAAGTTTCAAAAAATGACTTTATTATCTTGGACTGACATGGCGGCATTGAGCATAGAGGATGCTGTATGCTACTTTACAGCTTTCTTGGTTGATGCAGCAACAAAATGTATTCCCCAAACATGTGGACCGTCAAGCAAACGACGAGTCCCATGGTGGAATAATGAGTGCCGTGATGCTCGAAAAAAACAAAATAAGGCATGGAGGTTGCTTATAGACTCGCCCACAGCCGAGAATCTTGTAAACTTTAAGAATGTCAAGTCGCAAGCAAGGAGGACGCGCCGACAGGCGAGAAGAGAAAGTTGGCACAAATTTGTATCGGGCATTAACTCATACACAGATGAGTCGAGAGTCTGGAGCATGGTTGGTAAGGTGGCAGGACGAGAAGCACATTCGCTTCCTCTAGTGAACACACAAGGGGAGAGTTTGGAAGACCAGGCAAACACTCTCGGAGCGCACTTTGAACAGGTCTCCAGCTCAACACACTATAGTGAAGCGTTCCGACGATACAAAACCGCAATAGAAAAACAGAGATTAGAGCGCAAGCCCAGAACACATGAGGCATACAACGAACCTTTCTGTTTGGCTGAACTGCAGGCCTCACTTGCTTGCTGCAATAAATCTGCCCCAGGCCCGGACCGTGTGACATATGAAATGTTAAAACATCTGCCCACTGAAACCCACAAAGCTCTCCTCTCTCTTTATAATGCGATATGGTCTTCTGGCGAGCTACCCTCAGCCTGGAAGGAAGCTATCATTATCCCAATTCTAAAACAAGGCAAGGACCCGGCCTCAGTTTCCAGCTACAGGCCAATAGCATTAACCAGCTGTGTTTGCAAAGTCTTTGAAAAAATGATTAACAGGCGCCTGATGCACTTCTTTGAAATTAGTGGCCTACTTGACCCATACCAGTGTGGGTTTCGAGAGGCTCGGTCCACCACTGACCACCTTGTTCGTATCGAAGCACAAATTCGCGATGCTTTTGTTTATAAGCAATTTTTTCTGTCTGTGTTCCTCGATATGGAAAAGGCATATGACACTGCATGGCGCTTCGGCATATTGCGAGACCTGTCACATTTAGGTGTGCGGGGTAGAATGCTGACAGTTATCGAAAGCTACCTGTCCAACCGTACATTCCGTGTCCAAGTTGGCACTGTCTTATCTCGAGTATTTGTCCAAGATACAGGAGTGCCACAAGGAGGTGTATTGAGCTGCACACTTTTCATAGTTAAAATGAATTCCTTGCACCTGTCTCTCCCACGAAATATTTTTTACTGCATATATGTCGATGATGTGCAGATTGGTTACAAATCGTGCAACATCTCAATGTGCCAACGTCAAGTTCAACTAGGGTTGAACAAGGTATCTCAATGGGCAAACGAGAATGGTTTTATACTCAACGCGCAAAAGAGCACTTGTGTCTTGTTCAGCCGAAAGAGGGGCCTCCATCCTGACCCCGACATTGACCTGCATGGTCAACCTCTGTCAGTGAAGACCGAGCACAAGTTTCTTGGTCTCATATTAGACACTAAGCTAACCTTCATCCCACACATCAAGTATTTAAGGGACAGGTGCTTAAAAACAATGAACATTTTGAAAGTGTTGTCACGCACTACATGGGGTAGTTACAGGAAATGTTTATTACCTTTTATAAAAGCCTCGTACGCACACGCCTAGATTACGGTGCTATAATTTATCAGTCGGCAACACCATCAGCCTTGAAAATTCTCGACCCTGTCCACCATCTAGGCATTCGCCTCTCTACGGGTGCTTTCCGCACCAGCCCTGTGGAGAGCCTGTACGTGGATTCGAATGAATGGTCGCTCCACCTACAAAGATGTTCCCTGTCCTTTTTGTACTTTTTGAAGGTGAAGGCAGACAAGAAACACCCTCCCATTTGACAATTAATGATTTGTCTTGTTCTGGCTTGTTCGAGAACCGTCCTTCGTTTAGGCAGCCCTATGCGCTGCGTGTAAGGAGCCTGGCCGAAGAAACAGGTGTGCCTCTTGAACACAGTTTGATGGCTCCTGCAACATATCTGCCACCGTGGCAGTGGCAGCTTATAGACTGTGATGTCTCTTTTGTTGATGTCACAAAGCACACACCACTTGCACACATACGTACATACTTCCTAGAACTACAACATAAATACACATGAACTGAGTTCTTTACTGATGCGTCAAAGTCAAACACTTCTGTGTCATATGCAGCAATAGGCCAATCCTTTTCCGAGGCCGGCGTTCTTCATCCTAATGCAAGCATTTTCACAGGAGAAGCTTACGCAATACTGGCGGTCGTAAAACACTTTAAACAGATAAAATTACAAAAGGCGGTAATATACACAGATTCCCTAAGCGTGGTCAAAGCCCTGAAAACTCCTAAAAAACACAAGAACCCCGTGCTGGTGTCACTCTACTCACTTCTGTGCACACTCTACACATCAAAACAGCATGTCGTTGTCTGCTGGGTTCCAGGGCACCGTGAAATACAAGGGAACGTTTTGGCCGACAATCTGGCTGCTTGCGCCAATGTCACTACTGCCAATGCATCAACACCAGTCCCTGTACTTGACTTAAAACCTTTTATAAAACGAAACCTCAGGGGGTATTGGCAGAGCATGTGGGATAAACACACAGATAATAAACTCCATGCTATTAAGCCGCAACTAGGTTATTGGCCGCCACTATCAAAATCACGACACACGGAAGTAATACTAACAAGGCTTAGAACAGGACACACACATTCTACACATTCATTTCTTCTGTCTACCGGTGATCCACCATATTGTGAGAGATGTGGAGAGCCCCTTACAGTTCTCCACATTCTCGTCCAGTGCAATGAGCTAGATGCTGTAAGAAAAAAGCACTTTTACTGCCCTACCGACAGCAACTCCCTCTACACCCTGGGATGCTCATCGGTAGGGATCCGCTTTTTAAACTGCAAACACTTTTTACGTTTTTAAAAGATGTGCAAAGCTTTCACCCGATATTTCGAGGTCATCCGTAGCACGACCTCTATAGAGTGGTCGTGGCTGCGATGACTATATCTTCATCTTGGTTTTACTATCATTACATTTCGCCATCAGCTATCACCACACATATGTCACGCCGCTGTCATGATTTTATTACTTTCATGTTTTAACCCGCGTTAGAGCGAGGAATTTTAAGGCCCCTTTACAGCCACGCACCATATCATTGTTCATATCTGTAGTCAATTGAAATGGCGCTCTTTGGCCATCAATTGGCCCTTGCGCCACTAAAAACTACTCATCATCATCATCAGAGGGGCCATACCTGGACATCTGGTACTGATTTGAGCGTCGGCAGCTCATCAGTCAGAGACACACCGCGTGGTGGTCCGACGTCCGTAACCGGCGAAAGCTCAGCATTGTGGTTTTTACCGGGGTTACAAAGACGCCACGTGTCGCATCTCTGCGTGGACCCGAAGGACAGCGGTGCTCCGTTGAGTAATTTCTGCCACGCAGCGCCGAGTACATGAAAACAGCAGGCGTCTTCGCGCTGCTCCTTATCTCCACAAAATGAGGCGGCAGCCTTTCTTCCGTTCTGGCGGCCGCGGCAAAAGGATGGCTCGCTGAACGCACGCAACAATACCCTAAGAGCCCGGAGGGCATTACATAGGGGGGAATTTATTAGGAATGAAATACAATTTCATTTCAAGAACACAGCTATTGGAAAGGAAAACTAGAAATATATTACATGAACAATAACATTTCACAAATAACTAGTAACATTTCACAAATAAACAACATGTCACAAATGAACGCAATCAAAGATCAGTATTAAATACGATTAAGTAATCCAATAAAAAGTGTTATCTCGCTCGAGAAACGAGTGGAGGGCTAATTGAAAAGACTGATGATCGTTGATAGTGGCAATGCTGCATGGCAGTGAATTCAATTGATCTATTGCTATATTTCAGTACATAATGTCTAGGGACCCTAAAAAAGCTGCTTTTAGTAACGTTCTATTAATGTATGGCTTACATATCAGTTTTTGGTTTTGACACTGAATTGCTCTTTGTTCGCTCGTTTAAGTGTGCATCAAAGAGTGTAGGTCAACACCACAGCAGAGACCACAGAGCTGTGATGAGACTTCACAGAATCTGTAAGGTAGTCTTACCAAAATGATGATTTGCTTGGAGTAGATAACTTACAACATTACAAAAATCATCACAGGTAACGAGAAAGCTGACAATGACAGCAGTGATGCTGAAGAAAAGTCTGGTAATATGCTACTTTATGATGATTGCCTCGCCTCGGTAGTCTAGTGGCTAAGGTACTCGACTGCTGACCCGCAGGTCACCAGAACAAATCCCGGCTGCGGCGGCTGCATTTCCGATGGAGGCGGAAATGTTGTAGGCCCTTGTGCTCAGATTTGGGTGCTTGTTAAAGAACCCCAGATGGTCGAAATTTCCAAAGCCCTCCACTACAGTGTCTCTCATAATCATATGGTGGTTTTGTGATGTAAACCACACATATCAATCATCAATCTTGTTTATGATCTTATTTAAAAGGCTCAAAAAAGGAACTGGTTCTGTCCTTCTGTTCATCCTTTGCTTCTGTTCTGTGGAAACCTCAGAATGTTGCTGGGTCTGCGGAAAAACCAACATTGTTAGTGATTAGGGAGGCCAAATGGGCATTGAGTGCTCTAAAGGTGTACCTATGTCATGCATTTTAATGAAATGGGAAACTTTTTTTTTACTAAATGCCTTTTCACTTTATGTTACATGCCAAACCACTGAACGTGCTAAGCATACTCATTGTATACAGTACAGTGCACAATCTTTGCCAACAACAAACCTACTGTGTTTACTCGTGTATTGAACCCACTTGCATAATAGACACTTTTAGTTGGGCGTACTAATGAGCCTACGTACGCGGCACGATTCGTTGCGTACGCTGCATGCGAAGTACTCAACGACACTTTCAGTTCACTGTATTGACTGTACTGAGATACGTTTGGTTCAACTAGACGTATGTTATAAGAAATAAACCAGCTATCGGGTTCTTTTTAGCACACTCTTGCGGTAGCGGCCGTCGTTATGGCCACTAGCATCCAAGCCAAGCCGAATCATTTCGGATCCATGGTATACGTCGGTTTGTTCGAGATTCCTAAACGGACCGCTAGTTTGTACTTCCGCTACCAGCGCAACATCGTCCCTCAAAGTAAAATATACTCGATTTGCACTGGCTTTGTTGTTCTTTGCATTCAACACCATCGCTGCCATTTTGCTATCTGGTTCCTATTTCAATCAAGATATCGCGAGAGCGTTGTGCCGCGTACGCTCCGCCTCGTCACGTTTACGCACGCCGCATTTATTTTTTTTTTCGGGTGTACACACGCATCCATGGAATAGATACGTTACGTATTGCGCATGCGCACTTCTCTCCCTTAGCGCTATGCTGTGTACATAGGCTCCTTACGTAAGTATGCCCAACTAAAAGTGTCTAATGAACCTTGGTCCTTGAAAAAAAAAGACTTTTTTTCAATGTATCTGTTCTTTTTATTTCAGTATGATAGACAGTGTCGTTGAAAATCGAAACAACATTAAATCAAGCCAATATATCGCAAAATAACAATGAAATAAATGTCATAGCGTAGTTTAGCAACCATGCTAAACAGTTGCGAACAGTGCGAGTGTGGACGACGTCAATCAATATTAGAAAGTCGCGATTTTTAAGGTCCCTGATAAAACAAGTTTCCAAGATAGCGACCCCCTCCCCTTTCTTCTTCGCGTATGTCCCTGGAGCGCCCCCTAGAAAGTTCAAAACTTTCATAAAAAGGCGAATGTTTTGGTTCTGTTGCCACGTTTAATAGACGTAAATAAAACAAAATGGAAGGAAATGAGTAGTAGAATGAACGGTTACCTATTAGAATACAAACGGTGCAACACAAGAGCAAGCGGAATGTGTGTTACTAAACTGACAACATGATGCAGTTGTATATTTCACACCACTAGCCATGGCGTCTCGCGTCGTACATCACAGTTCGTCCGTTTCTCCAATTGTGCTTGCTCATGCTTATGCTGTGACAAAGTGAACACGCTTCTTGCTGGATCCTGTCAGTGATCACACGGCGTGACGTGACGAGTGATTACAGCCAGCTTGTGCACACACAAGGAAAAACCACGGCCTGACTGATACGAATTCTTGACTAAACAGCACTGCGATGGCAGTTTTTGTTTTGTTTTTTGAAAAATGCACAGGTTGTGGCAATTGTAATGCCAGGTAATTCAGATGCAGTGCAGGAAATTTCACAAAAACTCGGAGTTCTACCTGTGACGTGTCCCGCCATTGTGTTTTGGCTCCTTTATGCCGCCTTCTAGAGAAAGTGGCTTAAATGTTCCTGAAAGTGCGTTTATTAAACCCTTCAATTGTTCCACAAACATTTGTAACAATAGACATGCACTAGATGTGTGATAGACGCGTTCCTGGCGTTTCAACAAAAACCTACAAATAAACTGGCTTCGCAGAGTCGTGTCGACGTACATCGACAGTGCTGCGTGAAAGCGTTCGCATGATACGTTCCATAGTTGCACTTCACACGGTGTGCACCATTTCTGATAGCACAAGGTATGTTAAAGAGAGTGAAGCTGTTTTCTGTTATTTTACTGCAACCCATCATTGCTAGAAAACTCGGATGTTGCCTTGAACATGCACCCTGAAGCAATCTGCAAGTTTATGTCATGGCTGCGATTTCGTCTTTCGTCAAGGCGAGAATCCGGCTGGAGCCATATGCGCATACATACTCGTTTTGAACCTTCTGTATAATAATAAATAACACCACCAACCATTTGCAAGATCACGTGTAAGGAATGCACCGATTGCAGGCGCAGATGGCGGAGAAGAGGAAGGGTAAGCGAGAGAGTGAGGGGAATGGCGTCGAGAGCAATGAGTGACGCTACCTTGGAAACTTGTTTTATCTAGGGACCTTAGCGCCTTTTCTGGCAAAACGCTATCTGTCCAATGCAGGAGAAACTTTTTTGCTGATAGTGCCACGCAAGCACAGTGGCACAAAAACAAACCAAATACAAAGCACGTAGCCTTCGAAATGGCGAGCACGCAGCATAAAAACATGGCGCGCGCCCGCCATCTCGGAGGCCATGCAAAGCACAACCACACCCACCACTTCAACAGCACGTCGTGCACCCACGTCTACCGCAACTTTTGTGTGCTGCCATTCGATGCTGTGTTTTTGTTCTCGGGTTTGTCGTTGTGAGCTTTTTGGGGGCACATGGTGTGTAGGGCGTGTTCGACCAGTACGCTAGCTACATGGCGGGTTACTAACAGCATGCACTGTAGCATGGGAACCGAGCAGCTGGATGACACTTCGGCGTCGATTCGTGCGCTTTCGTTTTAGGAGGAAACAAAAAGAACTTCAGACTACAAAAAAGATTTGTGGCGCATTTCTTGGGCCAAAACAAGCAAAGAAATCACGCAGAATTCTTGTTATTATAACTCCCGTGACTTTTTTTTTCTTCCACGTAATAAACCCTCCCCCCAAATTGGCATCAACTTTTCTAAAGAAAAAGTTGGTTCATTAGGTGCATAAATACGGCACATAATGAAAGATTTGGATGTCTGAAGTGCTTTACAATAAACGCATTTAATTGTACTTGTGATAAACTAGGAGAGCATATTGGTCTCAGCAGAGTGGATGTCGTAAAATGATGTTAACATTTCTTCGTTGCTGTAAGTCAAAATATCTGTTTGGCTTCTTTTTATTTTTTTAAGCTATCAAGTACAAATTCTGGCAGTGCCAGCTTGTATAAACACTGTGTTTACTAGGAAACTTCTTTTTGTAGTGTGTCTGCACTTTGCTTCAAAGTAAAGGCCCTGAGAAAATGTATAAAAAGCAAGTTATTTGATGTAGATACCTCATTCATTCATATTTCATGACAATTCATACCAAATAGCACACTCAAGCCAAGCTTTGACATATTTAAAAGCTTGTTGATAGACACATTTATTGGGTCCACACAACCATGGCAGAGTCCTGGCCTTTACTGGTAATCTCATATTTGGGCAGGCTTTTTTTATGCCTTCTTGTTCTGCTCTAGCTCAGAGGCACGGATAACATTGATAAAGTCTTTACGATGTTACTTACGGTGTTACTGTGGACTTTTGTTGTCACTGGTGTTTGGTGTGATGATGCTCAGCATTTCTCTGCAAACAAACCCATGCATATATATATTTTAGTGACCGTATAACACAGATCATGATACTATGAGGGTGGGGTGTGGAGGACTAAGACACCGGAAAGGGGAAGGCGAATACTACCAGGTGCCTTTTATTTAGCAGTTTTGCTCATGCTTCCTTAACCTCTCCTACCCCTGCCCCTCCCTTTCACTTGCAGGAATTCTTGACCAGTACATTTCAAGCGGAGGCCTGGGTGAAAGCTGTTGGACCTTATGTCACCTTGTATAAGCTTATGTCTTCTAGAGTGAATACAACAGAGACTTATTGTTATGCAAGGGCATCGTTTGGGCCAGATATGGATTTCAAGTCACTCGAACAAGCAGCTGTCAATTTTGCCAAATGTCATTGTGCGGGGAAATCGAGCGAGAAGACATCAGATGTCCTATTATGATAAACCACACAGTTTGTAGTGCAGGTGTCTTGCTTATATGTACATTGTCAGTTTTTTCTGTTTAAATTGTGAATAAATATTTTCTCAAGTGAGTTGTGGTTGACTCGCAGAGAATAAAAATTTTTGTCATACTCCACTATGGTTAAAACTCAATTTAACAAAGTTATGCCCACACTTGAATCAATAATTTTTGGCTTTTGCACTCTAAAATTGTAACAAAGCGACACCCAAACATTACCACAGCATTGTATGTGCTACCAACCCATGTTTAAAAAAAATTCACGAGGGTAGCCTGGACATAAAGCATCCTCCATTCCCCAGACATAGAAGGCTCTATCTGTGGGCAATGCAAGCCACTTAGGCAGATACACAAGGCTGTCACAGGTGCAAAGGCGAGGAGAACAAATACAATGATTGTGCAAGCAGGTCAAGCAAGACTGTTATGAGGAGACAATCAGTGCCATCTGTTGTATAAGCTATGAAATAACCTAAGCAACCACAGTAGTGCTCCTGTGTGAGCATTTACAGGCAACATATGGGGACACTAAACCACTGCCACCCGAAGCATGATCTCATGAGTTGTAGCACTGCTAACTGCTGTATCCATTATTCAGTGCACTGGGGGCAGCTTGTAGTCTTGTCAAAATAAAGCTATGGTTATTATCAGAAGGGCTAGATATTATACAATAGCGTTAGAGTGCACATTCAAAGAGCCATCTGTAACAAAATTAGAAAAATATCATTGCTTTTGTTATTTATTTCAGGAAAAGCTTTGTTACATAGGGTTTGACACCAATTTAGTTTTGTTAATTAGGGTTTATGACAACATTGAGCCATATAGGCAGCTGCCAGGAAGCTGTAATTTCTTCGTTAGGTTGGGAACATTGTGAATTTCTTTAATTTAGGTTTTGATAAATCCCGAGTTTTAACTGTACATGACTACTGGACTATGATGGCTTGGCAGCTATATCTGGGGTACTTTTTCTGTTTGATTTCTTCATTATTCAAAGTGTTTACACATTCAGTCAGTTATGTTATCTCTTTGGCAATCTTGTTAGATGTACAGTTCAGGAGTCCCGTAAAAAGTGCAAGTCCACAAAAAGGACACCAGGGTTGGGCAAATGACCGGAATCCTTCACTACGGCGGCTCTCAAAATCATGTGGTGGTTTTGGGATGTTAAACCCTACATAAGAATAAATGAAAATGAAGGGTTGGATAAATGAAGTTTATTCAGCACAACTCAACCAGGGAAGTTTGATTTTTTTTTACATATTGCCACACGAAGCCAACAGACAACCGAGTCAAAGGAAGCATAGGAGAAATTAACTGTGGATTTATTTTATATATGAAACTATGAAACTAAAATGAACATGAAAGAAACTTTGTCGGGAGCCAATGCAGTGCTTTTTAGTATATAATAGACTCGCGATAATTCGAACTATGATATTTCATACTTTCGGTTAATACAAATAAAATTGAATTTTTTTTGGTTGGCCCTCTATTCTTTCAGTGTATTTAAAAGGCTCCTAATTCAAACTCCATCGATCTGTCCATTCATATTTTTTTGTAGGTTTATACCCGAAAATATCAGTTGCTTTCCCACTACTATTCAAAAATATGTGTTCTTATATAATCCTAACAGTCTAAAAATGAAAAATAAGCACCTGAGGCCTTCAAGGAAAGAGGCTTTGCTAGTAAAGAAATGTTTGAAATGAAGTACACGCATAGTAAACCGTGATGCTTCTCGACTGGTACAGAGAGCTTTGTGCTGAAGGCACCTATAGCAATGAAGCAGTTAGAAATTCATGATTTTTTAAAAGGTCTAATCAGCAGTATATGGCCAATAAACTTATGGACCTAACACTTCTGCTTTCTGTTCACTGTGTGCAGTTAGGGCTTAAAGACACTTAAAATATTTTAAATGTGATAAAATCAATGGCTCATCATAATTTGTGGTGTCACCTCACCCAGAGTCATCTGAGAAATTCTGATAATTCAAACTTCTTGATAATTCAAACAAAATTCAGAGGTCCCTTCGAGTTCGAATTAACGAGAGTCGACTGCTGTACCCATTGAAGTTGTGTAGTAACTGTTCTCTCATTTTCTTTTTTGGGTTTTTTTTTATATTTAGACTAGGCATAGACAAGGGAAAGGGAGTTAGTACTGCTGATGACCACGGTAGCAGATGTAGAACGTTTTTTTAAGCAAAGGTGTCGCAAAGTGTTCAGGCAATATAAACCTCAATATGTTATCCAAAGACATCAAAGCTGCTGAGTTGGCACGTTAGTTGAAGGGGCCCTGGGACACTTTTATATGTAGCTATTGAATGGCTTCATTAACAACGTTTATTGCCTTGCAAATGAAATTTTAAAAAATTTATAATCTATGAAATACGGTTACAGTTGCAGAGATTTGTCGTGCCCTGCATTTATTTTCTCGTCTCTTATCCCAATGAGCACGTGGAAGCTAAGCAGAGAGGAATGGCATGGGGGAAAGAAGTTACTTCACACGCGTGTCTCAACCTTGGACACTTTTTTTTTCTTGGAATGTGCAGCTTACTTTCAGCGTGATTGTGAGCACGCACAGACATGTGGCCGCCTCCGGCAGCCGCCACAGTAAAAATGCAGCTCACGATGCTTAATGACCATGAATTTGGGTATATGTCATCATTTGTGAAAAACAGAACTATTTCTAGCTAACTTTAAGAAATAATCATTAATTGCAGGCTGCATGCTGCTCTATAATGCTTGCCTCGTGTGTTTCCGGGAGCCTCGACTACCGATCAGCAACATTTTCTGACCATGCTGAAAAAGTGTTGCAGGACCCTCTTGAGTAGGGCGCCTCAGCAGCTCAGTTTAGTTACACAAAATCACTTGAAGCCAAAGAAAGTATAGGAGAGATTGCCTGTAGTTTCAATTGAAATATAGAAATGATAAGATAAATGCAAGCGAAAGTGGGCAAAAAACTTGCTAATGGTGGTAGCTGAACCTAACTGTCAATACTATACAAATGATGCCAAAGTTTTAGTAGAGCACTGCTCTGTCTAATTCATTAGAAAAAATACCAGGTACAATTCAAGAAAAAGAGTGGCAAATGTTTGAACACATATTTAAAGCAAAAAAAGATCACCGGATATTGCGTTCTACAGGACCTGAATAAAGTTGTTCCAACCAATCAACTAACTAACCGAAAATTGCACCAGTTCATTGCTCACTACCCCTCATGGAAGCTCTTGGGAAATTTTGCAGGAAACACAAGTTTTGCCGTTAACTGACATCTGCAGTGATCTGTCCCCGAAGTCACACAGATCATCAACATTCAGCTAATAATCAATTTGCTGATCTCCACTTGCACAACTACTAGATCTCCCTCCTGGAGCTGTGGATGCACTGTGATCTTCTGGTATACTGCCTTGACGCAGCTGCTTAATATTTTGTTAGTTAGATGTATGTAAGCAAGATTTTCCTACGTCGCACTTTTTCCAGTTAATCACTCAACCACAATTATTAAAAATTAAGAATTAAATCAGCAGCTGTGCTGCTGATTTAATTCTTGACAAGTCATTTCACTTAATGCCGTGGACGGGATGTGAACTATTTCAATGTGGAATTTGTTTCTAGGAGAGGCCCTGCTCCTTGAAAACTTTTGAGCACAGACCGCTTATCTGGAGGCTGAACGTGTTTGCGTGTGAACAAGGCTCCCGTGTGGGGAGCCAAAACGTCTTTTTAACTTTTGTGTATTTCACCTTGGTCGGCATTTTTGTTATTTTTCACCATCACTGAATATGTACACCACAGGCGATAAGCTAGTTATTGTTACCTTGATTTTGCGCTTTTTGCATCTTGGGCATCTGCGCACAGGCCGCTTAGGTGGGTGTTGAACAAGCATGTAGTGTATGCTGGCTGATGTTTCTCCTGCTGTCACTATGCGTAGAGGACTGATGCTAGCATTACTGAATTTGCACACTACATGTGCTGAGGTGGTTTTTTTTAACTTTATTTTGCTTCCCTGGCGTGTTGGGTTTTCCTGTATTTTTTGTTGAGGTGGAGCTCTTTCCTCGTTCACCGCACCTGCAAAAGTTGTCAGAAATTGGTATGACTATTGTGTTCCCCCACTATTTAAGAATGTGGCCAAAAAATTTTATTTGTCCATAAAAGTTTTGAATTGTGAGTCACAGTCACGATGCACACTGTCTGGTGTTTTCACATGGCCGACTTAATTGCCATATTTTTGCGAAGTCACTAGCGAGCTCTTATCGACCATTCAAGCATCTGCATTCTTTCGTAAATTTGCTAGATATAAATTCCATGAGCAAAACGTATTTGAAGGCCTGCAGTGGGCACTGTGAGCATGCAAGCAGCAGCCGACCAACTGATCACTCAGAAAAGTATGAATTCATATTGAAATCCTGAAAAATTAATGAAGTTTACAACACATTTAGTTTTTATGTTATATATTACTTCAGTAGCTTTGACTATTAAGTAACACACATTTTCTGTCAGTTTATGAAACAACTTAAGACTAGGAAAAGTATTGCAGTAAATTGATGCTGCCTTTCAAAATGCGTAATGTACCCTGCATATAAAGCAATTCACAGTTTCTTTCCTACTCCAATTTAGCTTCTAATCAGTATTTTGCAAAGAGGAGACATGACATTTTTTTGGTGTACTTTACGAAACACATGCAGCATTACTTTGGTCTTTGGCTGAATAGAATTCATAAAAGCATGCATTTAAACACAGCCCAATGCGGGTACCACAATAGCAGTATAATCATATTTTCTTCAATTATTCAGGAGACAGTACACTATGCAAGTTTCTTGCAATGCTGTACTCCATTTTTAGAAAATCCAGCGGGTATCTTTTACATTTTTATTTTTAATGTAAGTTGGCAGTTAATGTAAAGCATTCTTTACCTCTTACTAGCTAGGCAGGTTCCCGGCTAATACCATAAAACAAACAGTACAATATTTATCACTGCTAAGCAACTACTGATGCACTCGCGTACCAAATGCTCCATTCCTTAAGATGTGAGTCGGACAATGGAACATTTTTTCAAAAAAGAATTTCTTTTTCTTGATATTTATTTCACTACTTTAGTTTCTCTACCTTCACAAACAAAAAAAACAACTGAAGATTGTAATTAAACTCGAAGTAGGTTGAAATTGCTTTTTGAGAGCACAAGGTGGGTACTAAAAACTAAAAAGAGCTTATTGTCCAGAGTCCCCTAGAAATTGTCACCCAGGTGCTTGCCATTGCATTTTGCCTGAGGGGTTCACTGAAGCCACCATGCTTAAAACTACCAGGATTGCCAAGCTCTTGTGAGGGAAGAAATCATACTAAAAAACATAACTTTTCCACATAGATAAGCTCTAACTTATACCTTTAAAATGTCTTGTTCTAAATGTCTTGTTTTTTGAAAACTTTTTGAGTTTGGATATCATGTTTTTGGTACTTCTGATAGCCCAATTGGAATGAAGTACGTGTTTTAAAACTTGATATTGCTAGTTTAATTATTCTGAATCTAAAGCAAACAATTCATATGGGCTGAAGATTCTAAGAATTCTCATGGTATAATTTTTATTGTCCATCAAGATGTCGTATATACACTTTCTTGATACTTATTTGTATTCTGCAGTTAATGTGGAGCAATATGGGCTAACAATGACTCAGAACAATAAAAGTTTAGTGGCCTAAAAACTTTGTTCAAAGAGAACTATACTTTACACATTGTCTTAGCACAAAAAGAAAACTGTACAACTCACTATAGAACTAATTACATATTTGAAATCAGCACAAAAGCCTATATATACAGTTAAAATATCATTGCCCTAGGCTACAGAATAATGCAACTTTTTTTTTTTTTTTCAAATCACATGTCTCCTTAACTATGCAATTTCATTTAGTGCCGGTTTTTTTTTTTGCATATAGCGTATACAAATATTTACAACTTTAATGGAATAAAAGTATGAATTTATACAAATTAGGCTGAAATCGTGAATTTTTTTTTTTTCGTGCCAGCGAGAAATATCAGCTTCCTCAGTACCTCAGTAATAGGTGTCATGCACCATATTACACCGGTGCCTAAACACAAGTGCGGTTGCTTGTGTCCTGTAGAAACATGTAAGCAGAATTGATAATGATATAATAGTACTTAGTGTGTGTCAAATGTAATAACATGTTGCTTATAAATCGTTTGAGTGTTGCTTTTTTTACCTCTCTTTCTGTTTTATTATTATTATTATTTGCTATTATGACGGCATTTTATATGGCAGTGAGGAAAGGGTGGGGGGGGGGGGGGGGCTTCATATTTTATTGCAGCTGACTGGCCAACGCGTCGCAGCAGTCGTCAAATGGTAGACCGTCGACCTCCCATGCAAATGTACTCGGTTCGATTCCCAGCGCCGCCGGGCACCCTTCGGTTTTTCTAATGGGTAGAGAAGTGCCACGACCTGGTGCTCGGCAGTATGCATACTCTTATCTTGAGAAGGTGGCCGCACTTTTTCACATTTCACCTCCCCCGCCAATGACGCTTTGCCGTGTTCCCGTCTGATTTGCAGAAAGAATTGTAATACCTAATCTTAAGCCACTGTCACCGTAATTCGCCTATATGAATAAAATTATATAACGTGCATGACAACGCTGAACGAAAACGAAGGCATGTTAGGTACAGCAATTAATTTTCTCTCTTTTTTCAAAGTTCGGTGCTTTTGTGGCGCGTCTTTCGCTTTATATGTTGCTCGCTTGGTGGATACCTTGCTGAACGGCTGTATTGCCCGCGATCTCCGACGCCAGCGAAGCTCTCGCCGATCAGCCCACCGTCCGCGATCTCCTGACGCCGTGTAGCTGTCGCCGATATCTTTCAGCTATTCTTTTTATCGCCTTACCCGTACAAGGAGCTTAGCCGCGTCGCCTACAAGGCAGACAGAAATTAGCTCCTTTTTTCGTTTCCTTCAGGAACCACTTACTACAACGTTATACGTTAAAACCTTCCCGCGTTTTCATAATATCAGCCACATCACAAGGCGCGTCAGCGAATGAACATGGCGTCCCGCCAGCGGCGCTCACAGCCTTACCAGACTTACCTAGACATTTAATGATCGCGCCCGTCGTGCCTGACATTACGGACTATTCAGTAGTACGGTGTCTGTACCAAAGTGGAGTTCGGCCTCAAATGGTGGTAGTGGTTAGAAGAGGAAGAAAGTTCCTAACTTCTGCAGCCCGGCACGTACGTCAATATTGTGGCGCGAAACACGACCAGCGAATCAGAGTGTGTAAATGTGAAGTGAACCGCGCGCGACAACAGCGCTCTCTAAAGGGGCTTTGGTGTACTTGTCGCTTCATGCCAGAACGGGGAGCGTGTTCGGCGTTTTTCAGGTAGCACATACAGTAACTCTAGTTTCAGGTATCGCGTCCGCGTTGGCACCGGTTCACGAGGTTGTGGTAGTTCTGTTGTGGCTCGAGAACACTGAACACTCTGGCTGCTTTTGCTTTGGTACGCAGCGTCACGTGGCTGCTCGCTGGTAGTACCAACCTCGTCGCTTTGCCTGGGTCAGTTATATAGTCGGTAAGTAATCTACTGAGCAGTTACGTCTATAAAACCCTCTAGTGAACTTTTATGTCGCGCCCCAGTTAGCAACATTGTGCGCGTTTTGTAGCAAAAGCTGGCAATGCTCTGTAGCATGGGGAAAAGTAACTTGGAAATGTTTATGATGGGATAGAAATTCTACATCATGTTTATGGATGTGATGCACAACTGGACATGTATTGGAATTTAAGCGAGTGATGTTCGTAGTGTGAGTAATAAAATTTATTTTATGAATTCATTCAATGCTAACAGAAATAAACAAAAAATAACAAAACAAGCAGTTCGAGCGAGGTGGCGTCTAAACGCTGCTGCAGCAGTCGCATCTCAATCGCTGGCCCTCTTTTTTAATAACTTTGAGTTAGCTTGAACACATCAGATAGCAACTCCTGGTTGTATATACATGTGCGCGTGTTGGTCCATTTAGAAGAGATGTCTCAACTTGTGAGTGAATTAAGGAAGACCAGATTAATATATGGCGGTGTGGTTGCGGGCTTGAAGGCGTAGGCGTGCGAACAGGGGGTTGAGGGTAGAGAGGTGGGGGGGGGGGGGGGGGGTGGACTGTCCTATAATTGTTTAAAGGGTATATGGCCGTGCGCAGGGTTTCTCTTCAGGGGAGGTCGAGGGTTCGTCGCAGTGCCCCACCCTCCCTATTATGTCAATATATGGGGCTTACTGTGGGCTCCCGTCCGAGCTCACGCCTATGGTTATGGCCTCGCATAGTTTTGGTGATAATCGTGGCCCACGACCCCAGATGTTGCATTCTAACGAATTACTTCTCTCCTTTACCTTCGCAAAGCTGGGGACCAAAAGCAGGCCGTTGTGAGCAACGCCTCATTGCTTATAGTTTTCAGTTTGACATCTATGATTTGCAAAGGTTATTTTCTTTCGAACTCGTATGGTGGGGAAGGGTGATGCGCTGCGCCGAGACTTAGGCTAAATTTAGAATTGTGTGCGCGCCTATCTTCTAGGACATGGAGGATCTTCCATGACAAACGTAGTACGTCAATTTAGCTGAATTAATTGTTTGTACACTCAACCTGCCCCCCCCCTCCTCCCCGGCTCCCATCTCCCTGCGCCTTTCGCGCAGCTAAGAACGAGCGGGGTGTTTCCTTTCTGATTGAGCAGCGATCGGCGGCAGCCCGAGCACTATTAACTCGCAGATGGAACATACAACGCGTGGGGCGAGGTAGTCGATTTTGACTATCATGGCGACGCCGACGACAGAAACCTGCGGAGAGTGTCCATATACTTGATATTGCATTAAAACCAAAGAGTATTTGCGTCCCCTTATTTACTGAGCCCGACGTGGGCGGCGTTCGTGCTTCACGCTGTGATGGCCGTAGCGGCTGAGCGTAGAAGCAGCCCGTGCGTCCTCTATCACAGAACTTGCGATTGGTGGCCCGCCAACAAGCAAGACAAGATATATCTGAGGTTTAACGTCCCAAAACCACCATACGATTGTGAGAGACGCCTTGGTGGATGGCTCCGGCAATTTAGACCACCTGATGTTCATTAACGTGCACCCAAAAGTGCGCCCGGGCCTACAGCATTTTCTCCTCCATCGAAAATGCAGCCGCCACAGCCGGGATTCGATGCCGTGACCTGTGGGTCAACCACCGAGCACCATGACCACTAGACCACCACGGCAGGGAAGCAAGAAAAGAGGGAAACAAGTTTTGTCCCTGAAGGCGAAGCATTGGCAGTGATAGCATGACAGCTGCGCCAATGCCGAGGAGGCTTACCCGTGCTTACGCCACACGCCTGTGACGTATCGTCATGGGCACAATAGTTAGATCAGGTCTCTTTATCATTCATTCGTGACTCTTTTCCGGGGCACCAGCCAACACAACAGCATCATTTTCTCTGGAGCGGCTCGTATCTTGCGGAGCACTGGAGAATGGGGATAATCAGCCTACCATCTTACGTCTGGGCTTGAAGACATTGCGTAGTGCGCGAGTGCTGCCACAACGGTGTGTCGGGTGCCGACGGGAACGCCAGTGCCCGACATCAAGCTCCTACACCTTCGCGCAGCTCGCCGCCTGGCGCAGCGCATAGCGGAACGTTCGGGCAAGGCAGAGGACTGGACTGTTTACAACCGCCTCGACGTGGTTTGTCGACGCCACGCCCACCAACAACGGGATCGCGGCTGGTCCAGCCTCTGCCGCACCTTCGATGACCCTCGCTACCAGCGGCGTACCTGGGGCGTGTTTCGACACCACCTCCACCCCGTGTGCCCCGGCATCCGAAGCTCTCCATCGCGGTCACGCTCGGCATCAGAACCGCGCAACTCGCTGAATTGCTGGCAGACACCTTCGCGAGTGCACCCACTATCAGTGCAGCGGTTCCTAGGCCCGCGCTGCCGCCACATGCACGGCCCGAAATCTTCGCGCCCTTTCGCTCCTTTCCCACACCAGACATCGTGGAGGCAATCGGCGAGCTGTGCACGGTCGACTTCAGCATCCATGAGCTTCGCGATGTGCTTGACTCACGGGGGCGTCGCTCAGCTCCGGGGGGTGATGGCATCACGTACCAGATGCTCCGAAACTTGAATGCCAGACAGCTTCGGAAGCTGCTCGATGCCTTCAACGCCATCTGGCTCATGTACAGGGGTGCTACCATCCTCGTGGGGGGAAGCGTTGGTGATTCCCGTCCACAAGAAGGAGAAACCAGAGTCCGAGCCTTCATCGTACCGGCCCGTTTCGCTCACTTCGGCCGCGGGGAAAACGTTCGAGGCTATGGCGCTTCAGTGCCTCCAGTGGATCGCTGCTGCACTTGATTTTCTCGCGGCTGAACAGTCCGGCTTCAGAGCCCAGCGAACGACAGCGGACTCGATTTTGGACGTCGGGAGCCTTTTTCAGGAGGCCAAGCACCACGGGGAGGCGGGATACCTCGTCCTTTTCGACGTCCGGAATGCATTTGGCTTGCTCCCACACAACACCATCCTGGACGCCCTTCGCGTGATGCGTGTGTACAGGAACATGCTCCGTTACGTCGAGGCTTTCCTCAGTGGCCGGTGTTTTCGTGTGCGCGTCGCCGGTGAACTCAGCGGGCCTCGTGTGGTGTCAGGGGTGTGCCGCAGGGCAGTGTGCTGAGCCCGTTTCAGTTCAACGTAGCCCTCGCACGCCTCATTGAGCACATCCCACGCGACACTACCTACGAGGTTCGTGCTGCTGTCTACGCCGACGACGTTGCCCTTTTCTCAAGTGGTCCCACCTTTCGTGGTCGCCAAGTCCGCGAGGGACTCCAGGCTGTCATCGATGCAGTGGATGGCTTCATTCCGGGCATCGGGCTAGAGCTCTTTGCCACCAAGGCAGAGGCCATGCTCGTCCACCCGAAGAACTCGGGGCGATTTGATGTCCCGAAGCTCGTTCTTCGCGGCCACCAGCTGTCGTGGAAGCGCAGAGTGCGCTATCTTGGTCTCACCATCGACCACCGGCTCAGCTGGAGGCCCGCGATGGCGTCCATTCGCAGTGACTCACGTAAGATTGGCGGCATGGCCTCCTACATCCTCGCCAGTGGCAGGGGCTGCTCCCCGGACATCGCGCTCCGGTTCTTTAACGCGGTAACCTCTACCAGGGTCCTCTACGCGGTCCCGCTCGTCGCGCTACGACCACGCAATGGGACGCGCTGTACCAGCTCGTCGATTGGCAGCCATTGGCGTGACCCCAGTCGATCAAAGCGGTTACAAGCAAAAACTTTGTGTGAGTGCAGTGTTGCATAACACTGATACAAGACTGATGCCATACCGCGAGCCACAGCGTCCTACTGATGTCTGGCCGCTTTGTGATAGAAACGCACGTGTGTATTTGAGGGAAACGTGCTCATAAATTATATATATATATATATATATATATATATATATATATATATATATATATATATATAGCAATTGAAATCAGTGCGCGCGAAAAATCCCCGATGGCCGGCATAACCTTTGGTGCTGTCTAGTTGTACACACCAGAAATGCCGCCTAGTGTGCCAGTCAGGTCAGCGTTAATTCTGACGAGATACATGCTAGAGGGAGCACAAGCTCGAGGGCGTTGGGTCCGAAGTTTCCTTGGATTGCTCATCGATAAATGTCGCGATTGATTGATATGATGCATTGATATGTGTGGTGTAACGTCCCAAAACCACCATATGATTATGAGAGACGCCGTAGCGGAGGGCTGCGGAAATGTCGACCACCTGAGGTTCCTTAACGTGCTCCCAAATCAGAGCACACGGGACTACAGCATTTTCGCCTCCATCAAAAATGCAGCCGTCGCAGCTGGAATTCGATCCCGCGACCTGCGGGTGAGCAGCCGAGTACCTTAGCCAGTAGAACACCAAGGCGGGGTGATAAGTAATGCTATATACCCACTACGAGGGTGGACTGAAACCTATAATAAAAGTCAAATAAGTTATGCATGAGATACACTGCATTATTTCGAAATTTATTAACTTTATAGGATCAAAGTCTTTCCACTAATTTTGTACATGCTGAAAAAGTTTAGCGGAGATAATAAGAACTTTTGAACACAGGATCGACATCTGCGTGGTTTTCCGAATTACGACATTAGCGATTGTGGTTGATTAACTTGATACCCTCCTCGTGTCCCACAAGAATTCGCAGAGGGCCACGTATTCTACGTTCCTTACCTATAAGGCCCGGTGAGGAAGCCCCAAAGAAAATATTTTTGGTATCGGGTGCAATTCTCTATTTTCGCAATATAACTTGGAAATATCTCCGCCACAGTCGTATATCGCCTACGGTGCGCGGCTGCTGGTGGCCGCGTTTCGAGAGGTACTAGACGCCCTTGTGTACTGTGTGATTGTGGTTAGAGATTGTGGTTATAAAAGGGAAAAGAAGATAAAAGTGAGCCCCGTAACTGTCTGCATCTGGCGCGACACCTCAACAATAGCTCACAAGGGATGGGGGTAAGGAGGGATTAAAAGGATAGGAATAAAGGTATATATATAGAAAGAAATGCGCAGGGACAGCGAGCGACGACGGAAGAGAAGATAGGACAGATGAAACGCGATCACAGGAGGACGACGCCACTGGTGTATTGTGTGATATCGGTGCGCGTTAGAACACCAGATGGTCTAAACTCCCGGAGATTTATACTACAGCGTGGCTCATACCTATGTTGTCTTTTTTTTTTCTCGTAAAACCCCAGATATTATTCACTTCAAGATCTCTCTCGCTGCATAAGAGCATCGACAGGATATTAATAGAAAACGGCCCGTATCTCCAGGTTTGTCACAGTTATGGCATAAATGAGATGGCACTAGACCAGACCTGTATAGGTAAACATTGAACGGTGAAATGCGGCAGTGTAATTCCGTGAGGGCTATTTGCAATATACTTGCGGGGCGCTATTAATTATACCAAGTGAATCGCAATTGACTAAATCGTGGATGTGGTATTCGGTAGAAGAGCGGCGAGATTCGAGCACGCGCTTTCGAATGAATACTTTGTCGTCGTTGCCGCTACTCTGCCAGGGAGGATGAAAAAGTGTTGAGCCGCGGCACGTCCGCGCCATGCTGTCGCTGCGACTATCGGTCCTCCTGCCGCTGTTGGTGGCGCCGTCGGGCGGAGCCCGCTGGGCCTGGGGACCCAAGGCGGAGCTCTCGCAGTACCTGCAGAACATATCGTGGCATCACGACTCGCATCTCTCGGAAGAGTTGCGCAAATCGGTGCGGGACATCCTCGAGCGACAGCCATCACCAGGCCTGCTGCACCAGCGTCGAGTGCCATTTCGGCCAATCGGTGATCTGCAGGCATTCGGCAGGGTGGCAACGAAGGAGTCCCGGCAGCCGAGGATCCGACCGGAACACCGTTCGGGAACGCCTGTTGGCGGTTCCATTCTTGCTGCCAACAACAGCCCGCCAAACATGAAATTCGAGAAAGGTGCGATCACAACCGTTCACGGACGTGGGCATGCATGCTTTTGGCTCGCTTCTGCACAATGTCGCTTACCGAGTTGCTGCACTCATATAGTTGTGGCATTAAATACACTTTACACGTGGTAGCACGATTGATTGTAATACGGCAACTTTGTCCTTGTGTTACTACTTTTTTGTAGATTTTGGCCAACATCGATTAAAGTAAGAGCTTTAAACTCTCAATGGAATGTGATAGGGGATCCGAGGAATGCAGTCACAGCTATTTCCAGAAACTCTACACGTGTTGAAAAAGACATTATTCACTTAATTATTTATGGCTGGGTGGTTAAGTGAACCCTGCCGAATGCAAGTGTCCTTTTTTGATATCTAGATTTGTTCAAAATTTGCTTTACATTTAGATAGAATAAAAACAAAAAAGACTTACTGGTTGCACGTCCATGCACAGGAATGAAGTGAAAAAAAAATCCTTGTAACGTTGCTCTGTGGCCAAAAACCTCGAATGGATGTGGAGTGCGCTACGCAATGATATTAGCCCCATGAAGAGTTGCGCTACAGTGCTTAGCCTGAATTCTTCTTTACTTCACAGGCAAGCCGCACATCTACGATGTACACCTCGGCAAGGGCCTACAACTGTACTGTAGCGTCGCATACCAGTCACAAGTGTCCATATTCTGGACGCTAAATGGCAAACCACTGGAAGACTACGACTCCCTGTCTGAGGAGACTGTGTCGGAGGGGCGTGTTTCCAGCGTTTTCATCAAGAGTTTGACGCGTTTGCCAACGATGACTGGGGTGTACACGTTCAACTGCACCACTCTAACTGACTACGACCTGGCCACTGTGCACGTCGACGTGACCGTGCCGCTGAGCGACGCATGCAAGGAAAAGGGCTCAGAGTGCACCGAGCGGATGGCCGTCTGCAAAGGCGCGTCGTGTGTCTGCGATGGCTACTACAAGGTGCGACTCCTCTCAAAGCACGTGACCTGCCGCAGTGAAGCATACCTGGAGACGCCTTGCATGTACGATGAGCAGTGCTTAAACACTACCGAACACAGCGAGTGCACCAGCCGAGGATGGTGCGCCTGCTTGAAGGGCTACGGTCGCACTGAGGACCACAAGTGCGTGCCTAAGGTCGGCGCGCGTTCGCGTTGCAACTCGGAAGAGGAGTGTGCTGATTATGACGCTACGTGCATACTAAATCACTGCACCTGCTTTAGCCACAAGAAGGAACTTAACGACCGCTGCGTGAACCTAGCCGAACACTTAGAAGGAAACAAGCTGCCGTATGGTAATGGAGTCCGCCCATCCCCGGTGGCGGTGGTCGTGGTTCTAGCCGCAATACTTAAGTTAGCGTAGCGCCGCTGTTATGTGCGCTGTGCATTGGCCCGCCAGTGGCTGGCTGGCGGGTCGCAGCGTCGCTAGAAAGAAATGCGGCGAGTGAGGCCCATGTGGCTGGACCTGGATTCGTCGAGGTGGTGCAGATGGCGCTGGACTTGAGGCAGGGCTGTTGTCTCTCGAAATGTATAAACCTGTGTAGAAGACATAGCCAAAGGTTCGTTTTGTAGCTTTGCTGCAGCAAAGTCATCATGCTGTTCTTCTGAAAGTGTAGTATTCTGTTGTTGAAGAAAGTAAGATACATTGCCACAATATTTGTTGTTCTTGGGCCCCTTACATCGTATTCAGACTGACAGGCAACGTATACAGTTACCCAAAACTTGCCTAGAAAAGCAGCAGGAAGATCAATTTTGTGGGAGAATTTCACGGATTCGAAATTATAATCGCGAATCTGCATATGTCCGAAGCCTATCGGCGAAACGAAGATTCATTCGTCTGATGTGCGCGAAAAATCCTAGCGCTCGAGTGCACAGGTATTGGGCAAGCTCCCCTACTCGCCACTGGGCCACTAAAAAAGAAGAAGGGAACACACGGGTGGCAAATAGTAATTAAGATCTCTGGATGGACCTAACCGAAAAAAAAAAGAAAAAAGGGGGGTCTTTAGCTTCGCCTTTAAGAGTTGAACGCGAAAGCGAAATCGTGTCCCTAGTGCGTACTTGAACCACTTAGTGCATTTTAATGTATGACGCTACTGAAGAAGTTTTAGTTTGAGCGTCTGTCATTCACATTCTGAGTACAATTTATACCCATGTCACACGGCGAATCTAATGTCAATTGCAACGAATGGCATTAAGCGGGCATATAATGTCTTTTTACCTGCTAGCTGTCACATGAAGAAAAAAAATGTCATTTTGAAATGGTGACCATAACCTTAGTGCTGCTGAACCGTCGATTTTGGGGGGAAATAAAACTAACCAAAGCATGCATGCAACATGCGTGTATCCACAAAAATAACTTGTATTGGTAGTAAGGTGCTCCTAGAATATAAATGTGGCTGTTTTACACAACTTGCCACAGCTGTGCACGACACACTCGAAAACCAACATAGCCGACGATATGCGTGACCGGATGTCAGTGCAGTCTGCTGAAACGGGACGCTCTACTGCCTTCCCGACTGCAGAAATGAGACGGCGGCAGCGATTTTGTGTACTCACCACCTTCGTTATCACAACACGTGCAATCAAACGATCAACATCTGCGATACAGGCAACGACAGAGCAAAAGTCAAACATGGCCGGCATTCAGCCACTGTAGTTGAGATGATTGATTGATATGTGGGGTTTAACGTCCCAAAACCACTATATGATTATGAGAGACGCCGTAGTGGAGGGCTCCGGAAATTTAGACCACCTGGGGTTCTTTAACGTGCACCCAAATCTGAGCACACGGGCCTACAACATTTCCGCCTCCATCGGAAATGCAGCCGCCGCAGCCGGGATATGAACCCACGCCCTGCGGGTCAGCAGCCGAGTACCTTAGCCACTAGACCACCGCGGCGGGGCCACTGTAGTTGAGAGCAGCTTTTTTTTTAAGAAGCTTTCTCGCGTGCTATTGTGTCATCAAACCAGTAATAAGTTTGTGTAGTAATGAACAAAATGTTTACAAATGATTAAAGTTTCGTTTACACTAGGTAACAGTCATCTCCCTAAAAGGCCCTGGCGTCGAAACTACTGATCTGGTTCAAAATCAAATGCGAATGTGTTTCAGGAACTCATTCGACAGAAAATGTCATTTTCATCAAATGGCATTAGTTTCTCCGTGTGACAGCAAACAAATGACTTTACGAACGAATGGCATTTGCTGTAAATGCATTATATTTTCCGTGGGACAGGGGTATTACTGCCCACGAAATAAGGGGCTATCATGGCGCCTATATATATATATATATATATATATATATATATATATATATATATATATATATATATATATATATATATATATTGTCACGAGGTTGTGAAACACGCAGCATTTGAGAGGAAGCACGCAGGAGTCAGGGCGGTGTCAGGCGAACTGTTTATTGGGCGAACTTGTGCCCAGCAAAAAGGGGCCAAACACAACTCATAGCAACAGCGGCGTGAACAGTCGTCGGCCGACGGAAAAAAAAAGACCCCCAGTGGCGCACTGCACCGGCTTTTTATACACGCGTCGTAACGCGTTCCAAAGTGGCATACAAGATAAACGCGGCCTGCGTTGCGCTTAACAGAAAGTGATAGCGTCTTCCTTCGCAAACGAAAAGAACCGCACGTGTCAGTTTTTTATACACGCGTCGTAACGCGTTCCAGAGTGGCATACAAGATAAACGCGGCCTGCGTTGCGCTTAACAGAAAGTGATAGTGTCTTCCTTCGTAAACCAAAAGAACCGCACGTGTCACTACCCCCCTCTGAAAAAGCATCGTCCCGATGCTAAAGACAGAACATAAGAGAGAGTACATGCAATAAATTACATTAACAATGCGTCACAGCTAATCAGCGCGCGTAATAAGGTTTAAGTCGCACCACGTGTACGACTTCGGGTCGTGCACGGCGTCGTTGGGATGACGTTAAACCATCGGGCACGACCTCATAGTCCAGTTCACCACGACGTCGGACTACCTTGTAGGGTCCAAAGTAGCGTCGCAGGAGCTTCTCAGACAATCCCCGTCGTCGTATCGGCGTCCAGACCCAGACAAGGCTGGCGACGAAACTGCGGAGACGTTGGGTCCTGGTGTTGGCGAGGAGCGGCGACAGGTCGTCGTGCAGTAGCGGCGTAGGTCATCGCCTCCGGTTGGGGCTGTGGCCGTTCAGGAACGCTCAGTGAGCGCTGTAGTTCCTCGCGGACTACGTCTTCGAGAGAGGCGACTTGGGGCTGAGACGATGGCAACATGCGGCGCAGTTCTTCACGAACAATAGCACGTATGGTCTCGCGCAGGTCGTCGGGGCAGAGTCCTCGGACTTCTGCGACGTCTGGCGACATGCGCCGATCGTATTGGCTGGTCCGCATTTCAAGAGTCTTCTCGATGGTGGTAGCCTCGGAGAGGAACTCTTGTACCGTCTTTGGCGGGGTTCTGATCAGTCCGGCGAAGAGCTCCTGCTTCACTCCTCGCATAAGCAGGCGAACCTTCTTGTCCTCAGACATGTCGGCGTCGGCGTGGCGGAAAAGTCGCGTCATCTCCTCCGTAAAGATCGTTACGTTTTCGTTGGGGAGCTGCACCCGAGTTTCAAGCAGTGCTGCGGCTCTTTCCTTTCGCACGACGCTTGCAAAGGTGCGCAGGAAAGCAACGCGGAAGTCGTCCCAGGTTCGAAGCGTTGACTCGCGGTTCTCGAACCAAGTCCTTGCGGCGTCTTCCAGGTAAAAATACACATGACGCAGCTTGTCGTCCGGGTCCCACTTATTGAGGGCTGCGACGCGGTCGTAAATGTCAAGCCAGCTTTCCGGGTCTTCGTAGGTCGATCCGCGGAAGGTAGGCGGCTCTTTGGGCTGGTTGACGACCACGGTTGCCGAAGAACTAGCTTCCGTCATCGTGGATGCCGGCTTCGTAGCAGCCTTTGTTTTCTTGTCCTTGTCGGGGAGCGGCAGGTATTCGGGCGGTAGTCCTTGTTGTCTTCGGCTCACTCGAACGACCGGGTCGGCGTCGTCCTCTTGCCGGCTTGGGCTTGGCTCACGGCTGGACGGGGGCGTACGGTACATGGACCGAGAAGCACCTCCACCAGATGTCACGAGGTTGTGAAACACGCAGCATTTGAGAGGAAGCACGCAGGAGTCAGGGCGGTGTCAGGCGAACTGTTTATTGGGCGAACTTGTGCCCAGCAAAACGGGGCCAAACACAACTCATAGCAACAGCGGCGTGAACAGTCGTCGGCCGACGGAAAAAAAAAGACCCCCAGTGGCGCACTGCGCCGGCTTTTTATACACGCGTCGTAACGCGTTCCAAAGTGGCATACAAGATAAACGCGGCCTGCGTTGCGCTTAACAGAAAGTGATAGCGTCTTCCTTCGCAAACGAAAAGAACCGCACGTGTCAGTTTTTTATACACGCGTCGTAACGTGTTCCAGAGTGGCATACAAGATAAACGCGGCCTGCGTTGCGCTTAACAGAAAGTGATAGCGTCTTCCTTCGTAAACCAAAAGAACCGCACGTGTCAATATATATATATATATATATATATATATATATATATATATATATATATATATATATATATATATATATATATATATATATATATATATATGGCCCAGAAAACGGATCGTTAGCACTGTTTGAACAGGGGCACGTGGACGATTTCCGGGCCATGACGACGAGAGGATGGTTCCATTGACTCGAGGCGGGAGTTCACCGATGATGTTTGTTTAAGTGCATAGTGTAGACCATGATACTCAGTGACCAACTTGATGGAAAGGGCAGTAGTAGTAGTAGTAGACTGAACACGCAGCCAGACAAGCGAGCCAGGATCATTGTCAGTGAACGCGTCGAGATGGAGCCCATGGTCTACACCCAGGTGGACGCTTGGGCACGAGCCTACATGAAGCCTTGAGTTTTGGACACGACAATGGAAGGATGAATACACCCGTGATAGAAATAAGTAAGAGACGGTTAGAGTATTGGTGGCAGAAAACTGGAGAGAAGGGGCAAAAATAAATAGTGGGGAAAATGAGGACATACTGTCGTAAAGGGCAAATAACTGGGCTATGAATGTGCGTTTTCCCCATATATATATATATATATATATATATATATATATATATATATATATATATATATATATATATATATATATATATATATATATATATATATATCATCCATTTATCTTTTGTTGGAAAGAAGCGTACAAGTTCGCGGCATTCTTCATCGTGTGTAGCTGCTTGAGATAGAGTCATGGACTCTGAGGCACCGGGACGATATAAAAGAATTGTGTCCACAGTACAAGGTTAAGTAGAAATTAAGCAAGGGGAGAACCATGGGGCTCAGAATGACG